TAGGGGCTCGATCACACTAATCCATATGCTAAAACACTGCGTTTTAGGGTGCAAGCTAGTGTCTGTGAGCTTGTAAACGTATCTCCTTTAAAAGTAGGAGTGATGGTACTTCCCCCCCACCCCCAAAAAAACCCTGCAAATGCACGTAAACCCATGCATTTTTTTAATGTGGTTTTGGCATGAGTGGGCCCTGAGAGTGTACAAAGTTGCACTCAATTCACATCTCTGCACAGCAGCGCGGTGTGATGTGCTGCGGTAACATGCAGTGCCATGAAATGTGCTGCATTTTTCCACACCACATTGCAGTATAAACAGGGCACACAGTAAACAATGGTTTTCAATGTGCCCTAGTGATGACCTACATTTTTCTTGTAGAAAACCGCAGGTTACCACATATAGGGCTTGTTCACACCATGTCCACTGAGTTGTGTTTTTCTGCACACCAAGGAGCATGTATGGTGTGAACAGCGCGCATAGAAAACAACTATCTTTACTATACCCAGGAGCTGAAACAATCAGCCCCGGGGCTTCCAATCTTGCTACACAGCATTCAGTGGGTCGTGACCCAAAAGTGGGTCGCGACTCTATGCTCAGTGGGTCACCACGTGCCTTCCACTTTTCTAGGTGAGAGGTTTCTCAGCCTCCCCATAGCGCAGCACTGTCAGTTCTAGCGCTGAGCAGCCATTCATATGCTGCTCGGCGCCGAGAGTCAGCTTAAGGTGGGGTGGGCTGGAGCTGTGGCCGGGAGGGAGATCCATGGATAAATGCATTGCTTACAATTTCCTTGCATGTCCTGTAGAGGTGGCTGGACCGGAGTGATATCACATTCTGGGTCCTGGAACCTCTACAGGGTGTGCAAGGGAGCTGTACAAGCAATGCACATTTGGATGGAGCTCAGTCACAGCACAGCAGCCCACACTGGACCCCAGGCTGAGCATCCACTCCAGTTCCCATGAGGTAGGGAGACTGGGTGGACCTAAAAAAAAATTAAAATGTAGGTGTGTGTATGAGAATGTCTGTGAGTGTGTAAGATTGTGTCTGTCGTTGTGTGTGCCTGTCAGTGTTTTTGAGGGTCCGTTCATACTAATCACACGTCAATCATTTGAATGGCACTCCAAACGCACCTCCCACCCACAGTTCAATCGCCCGCAATGGAACGCGCGGTAGCGCAATGTCTTGCGGTCCATTGCAGTGCGACTTGGGTCGCAACTTAATGACCAAGGAGAAATGTGGGTCCTGAGATTACACAGGTTGAGAACCACTGCTATAAAGAATGATGTCGGATGATCTGGATGACATTTGCGTTTACTGTGCAAGCAAGCATGCATGAAATGCTCATGTAAGTGAATGCAGCGTCATTCAAAGTTTCAAGCTGGGTTCACACCTGTGCGTACGGAATATGCGCGTTTGCCGTGCGTTTTTACAGCAATTTGTGGTAAAAAAAACACGTGACAAATGCGCATTTCCGAGGGCTATCCGGCTGTATCCTAATGGATATGCACTGCAAATACGCCTCAAAGAAGCTCCTGTACTACTTTGGGCGTAGGGTGTTTAACAGCGCGTTCCTACGTGATGTAAAACACCCAGGTGGGAACCATGACCATAGGCAATTATTGGTTTTCACATGTTGAGCATTTTACAGCGCGCAGGAACGCGCTGTAAAACCCCCAGGTGTGAACCAGGCCTCAGTGATCGCATTGTGCTAGATTGTACTCTCAACAACCAGGCCTAATCTTATTTCAATTTTACACTAACAATTTAGACTGTCGCGTAATGTAGCGTTGAAAGGGCGCTACATTGTGCTTTTTCATACATTTACATGCATTTGCTGCATTGTTTTTGTTCTTTTCCATGTGTTTGCATGCACTGCATTTTGTGTGTGCGTTGGTTGGTGCATCCAGACATACTGAATGTGAATGGGCCTTATAAATGGCTATGTTATGATGAAGCGCAAGTATGTTTGAAATGCGTTACAGATTTTGTCTGAGACATATGTTGTATGCCTATAATAACAATATGTGATCAGCGCCAGTAAATAAATGCAAATAAGAGCTACTAGGCACTCAAGATAAATAAAAAATATCTAAAAACGTGAATGACAATCATGTGCCGAGCTGAATAAATATATACAATCCAGTGAAATATGTGATATAACAAGAAGATATATAAGTATATGCTTTCAAAAATATATTCAAAAGAGCATATCAAAACCTGACAGGATGAAAACAGAGTGATAAAAACAAAGTCCAATGTGCAACAATTATAATCGTGCAAACAAATGCAGGGGATAGTCCACCACTAGATAGATTGAAACTTCCAGTTGCCACAGAATCCTGACAGACCTTCACCTCCATCCAGTGAATGCAAAAATTGGAACAGTACTCACCTGGGGAGATAGACCCACAGAACTAGGTCTCAAATCGCGTTTCCCTTCTTAATAGGGGAGGAAAGCCCGTATGAATGAAGACCAGAAAACCTCCTCAGCTCGCAAATAACATCATCGTTTCACAGAAAGACAAAATATAAAGAGGACATTGTCCAAAAAATATGCTGTATGCCGATTGATGGATTTAAGATTACACACCGATCTTCAACAGATACAGGAGTGCCGCGCTTCCTTGTAATTATGGTGTATTTCGTCCGTGGCTGGTTGCTCGCTGGTGTGTGCACCCTATCAGTGGATTCAAGTGGACTGCAATACATTTGCTTCGGATAAAGAGATTGTACAGACTGTAACATGTAGCCAAATGACCATGGAAGAAATAAAAAAGACCTATTCTGTGAAGGATATGGAGCTCATGAAAAATGCTGGGGAGGCATTAATAGCCACCATGAGATCTGCTCTGGAGATATCCTTTAATCTCCTTCACATTTGGTTGGAAGTAAACAGCCCTCAGGCTGGAAAATCTGAAACATACACCATCATAGCGTCTGAAATTCTGCAGCGATTAAGATCGAGTTATTTGAAACACCTTATTTACGAACTCCACCCCTAATTAAATCTTTACGGCCTCTACATTTTTTTTTTACTATTTAGCAGGTTAAAGCTGCTCACTGAGAGTCTGTTGTAAGTGTGCAATGCAGTTAGGGGCAAATGATATTGATTGAGAGAAATAAAAAGTGCACTATAAATGAATCAATGTAATTAATCATGCATGCACTACAGGCTGAATGCTATCAATGAGAATAATAATGTGTTTTAAGGCCAAAGTCCATGCACTTAAAAATAAAAGCCCACAAATGGTACTTGGCAAGCATTCCCTGCTCAATCATCTCAGTCCATGACAGTGATGTAATTGTTTGTTGTGGATGGTTTGTGTTGGATTTTCCACATGTTATAGCATGTTTACACATGTTACCCAAGGCAGTGGCAACCGAGCTAAAGGTACGACTGTGAGATCCTGAATTCATTATTTCCTACAAGTACAAATGACAGACCCAGAGTCACTTGTGTGATATGAGTCAATCTGTCAGCCCACGAGTCCACTGTCTTCCACAAGTCAATCTGTCAGCCCACGAGTGCACTGTCTTCCACAAGTCAATCTGTCAGCCCACAAGTCCACTGTCTTCCACAAGTCAATCTGTCAGCCCACGAGTCCACTGTCTTCCACAAGTCAATCTGTCAGCCCTAAAGTCCACTGTCTTCCACAAGTCAATCTGTCAGCCCTAAAGTCCACTGTCTTCCACAAGTCAATCTGTCAGCCCACGAGTCCACTGTCTGCTACACGTCAATCTGTCAGCCCACGAGTCCACTGTCTGCTACAAGTCAATCCGTCAGCCCACGAGTCCACTGTCTGCTACAAGTCAATCTGTCAGCCCACAAGTCCACTGTTTTATACAAGTCAATCTGTCAGACCACTGTTTAGTACAAGTCAATCTTTGAGACCACGAGTCCACTGTTTGCTACACGTGAATTTGTGAGACCATGAGCCCACTGTGTAGTACAAGTCAATCTGTCTGACCATGAGCCCACTGTGTAGTACAAGTCAATCTGTCAGACCATGAGCCCACTGTGTAGTACAAGTCAATCTGTCAGACCATGAGCCCACTGTGTAGTACAAGTAAAAAATATCAGACACAGAGATCACGGTTTAGTACAAGTCAATCCGTCAGACCATGAGGCCATTGTTAGCTAAAAGTCAATATGTGAGATCCGGAGACCAATGTTTGCTACAAGTCCACGGCTTTATACAAGTCAATATGTGAGACCACGAGTCCACTGTTTGCTACACGTCAATTTGGGAGATCACGAGTCCACTGTTCAGTACAAGTTAAATCTGTCAGACCATGAGACCACTGTTTAGAACAAGTAAAAAATATGAGACCCGGAGATCACGGTTTAGTACAAGTCAGTCAGTCAGTCAGTCAGTCAGTCAGTCAGCCAGACCATAAGGCCATTGTTAGCTAAAAGTTAATCTGTCAGACCCTGAGATCACTGTTTAGTACATGTAAAAATATCAGACCCTGAGATCACTGTTTAGTACAAGTCAGTCTGTCAGACCCATAGATTACTGTTTAGTACAAGTCAGTCTGTCAGACCCAGAGATCAGGGTTTAGTACAAATCAATCTGTCAGACCTGGAGATCCCTGTTCAGTACATGCACAGACACAGCTGGAATCCATACTTTTCCTTCTCCCAAGCGGTGTTATCTGCACCCTGGCCAGGTGTTCCTTCCAGACCCCTGTCATAGTAGATCTTTGTGTTTACATTAGGTAACACATACACAATACTCCCTTGCACTTCTACAGCAACATGAACTGAAGATGTGAGTAAATGATAAAAAAGTGAAACTACTGTGTGCCTGGGGTGAGGCAAGGCTGTGGAATACTGGGCGGAAATAGGAAACCAGCAGCACAGGGGCCACACTGACAACTTTGTAATAAGATCCAACAGTAAAATCTATGCAGCCAAACATCAGGCAGCTCACGTGAGTCCCCCTGTACCTCGTCCGTGTCTGCAGAGGCTGCTCCTACCTGGATTCCTGCTCTAGGGCACTTACCAGACTGTGCCATAAGCTCCAGATCCCACAGCTATCAGGTCTCGGTACCGTTCCTTCACCTCCCAGATGGTCTTGTTGACCTCCTGCCGGTAGTAGCCCTTCTTAGGCAGTGTTGAGGACATGGCTGCTGCGGCGGCGGCGGCTGCTGGTACGGATGATGGAGGACTCCGGGGATCCGACTGTCACCTGGCCGCTCGTTCACTGGTCTGGTCTCCAGAGAGCTGGATGTGCACAGTGTCTCATGCACCATACATAGACGCTGTTCCTGCCTCTCTTACCATCAATGACTTGCCTCTCCCCCCCCCTCCTCGGTGTGGGCTGCTCTCTGTGCACTCATTTCCTCCCACACTCACAGCGACGCCTCCTTCTCCCTTCACTTTCCTCCGTCTTCTCCTCGGGGCTCTGTTCTTGTCCCGGTCATGGAGTGCACCCTATACACAGCTTTGTTGTCCCGGTCACATGACCACAGGCCACCCTCCGCGGTCAGTCAGCTGCTGGGTGTGGAGGGCTTCTGGGGTCACCTGTGAACATACACAGCTCGGGCCTGTCACTACTTCTAGGCCATTTGCAGCTGCTGAGCTTCGTGTACATAGAAGCTGATCGTGCTGAGTCTTGTCTGGGAGGGCCAAGGAGTGCTTGTGTGCTGGAAACACTGCCAGGTTTACCGGACCTGTAATAACAGCTTTGCGGAGTCCTCCCTCAGGAAATGGCCTGCTTTGAAATTTTTATTTACTGTGCAATACCGTTCCTGTTTTTTTACAGACTGACGTAAACATTACCATTGTATTTTTCATTTCGGATAGAGTAGGGAAGGGTTAAAGCCACCCCTTGTGTGTCCTATTAGGGAGCTTTCCCTTCACTTCCTGTCTTGGAGACTGACCAGGAAGAGAGAGGCTATCTTTCTTTGAAGGAAAACACCTCATGCTACCTCTGAGTCGTGTTAATCACATGGTTCTCTGCAATTAATGCATCTACCATGTGTTACAGTGGGGCAGGTACATTGCGTTGTCATTCATTTAAATGGCACCCCAATACATCTCGTGCTGCAATGCACTCCACAGCTGCTCAACACACAGTACTGCAATACCATGTGGTGCAGTGAGAAAAAGTAGTGCATGCCAGGCTGCTGCTCAGATATAGGTCTGAAACTGGCTTTTGGGGGTCCCACACCATTTATTTTTGGGGTGCCCCCCAAAATTCTTAACAAACCAAAGGGCATGGTATACATTTTTTTGGGGGGTGGGGGGAATACATATGGCTCTGTTACAAGGGCTGGAAATAAAAAGGATACACACGAACACTCTCCACTGACACACACTTACCTCTGGTGTCCTTTGATGCATTGGACATGGTGTTCCAGTTGGCTGTAAGACATTTGCCAATCTCATTCCACTCTTTATTTGGTAATAGATCCTGTCAGTGAATCCACCTCAGACCAGGTCCCAGATCACTGGGTGAGATGAGGTCAGCATGCAGGACGTCCCACCATATTTGTTTCAAGCACAACTCTACCACAAGCACTGGCACAAGGCACAACTCTACCACAAGCACTGGCACAAGACACAACTGTAACAAAAGCACTGGCACAAGGCACAACTCTACCACAAGTACTGGCACAAGGCACAACTCTACCACAAGTACTGGCACAAGGCACAACTGTAACAAAAGCATTGGCACAAGGCACAACTCTACAACAAGCACTGGCACAACTCTACCACGAGCACTGGTACAAGGCACAACTGTAACACGAGCACTGGTACAAGGCACAACTGTAACACAAGCACTGGTACAAGGCACAACTGTAACACAAGCACTGGCACAAGGTACAACTCTAACACAAGCACTGGCACAAGGTACAACTCTACCACAAGCACTGGCACAAGGCACAACTCTACCAGAATTACTGGTACAAGCCACATCTCTACCAAAAGCCCTGACACACAGGCAGAACTCTACCCCAAGCACTGGCAAAAGTCTCAACTCTACCACAAGCACAAGGCACAACTCTACCACAATCACAACGCACAACTTTACCACAAGCACAAGGCACTACTCTACCACAAGCACTGGCACAATCCACAACTCTACCACAGGCACAAGGTACAACTCTACCACAAGCACTGGCACAGGGCACAACTCTACCAGAATTACTGGTACAAGCCACATCTCTACCAAAAGCCCTGGCACACAGGCAGAACTCTACCCCAAGCACTGGCAAAAGTCTCAACTCAAGCACAAGGCACAACTCTACCACATCACAAGGCACAACTTTACCACAAGCACAAGGCACTACTCTACCACAAGCACTGGCACAATCCACAACTCTACCACAGGCACAAGGTACAACTCTACCACAAGCACTGGCACAAGGCACAACTCTAGCACTGGCACATACTCTACCACAAGCACGGGCCACAGGTACAACACTAGCACAGGCACAAGGCACAACTCTACCACAAGCACTGGCACAAGGCACAACTCTACCACAAGCACTGGCACAAGACACAACTGTAACAAAAGCACTGGCACAAGCACAACTCTACCACAAGCACTGGTACAAGGCACAACTGTAACAAAAGCACTGGCACAAGGCACAGTTGTGCCTTGTACCACAAGCACTGGCACAAGGCACAACTGTAACAAAAGCACTGGCACAACTCTACCACAAGCACTGGTACAAGGCACAACTGTAACAAAAGCACTGGCACAAGGCACAGTTGTGCCTTGTACCACAAGCACTGGCACAAGGCACAACTGTAACAAAAGCACTGGCACAACTCTACCACAAGCACTGGTACAAGGCACAACTGTAACAAAAGCACTGGCACAAGGCACAACTCTACCACAAGCACTGGCACAACTCTACCACGAGCACAAGGCACAACTGTAACACAAGCACTGGCACAAGGCACAACTCTACCAGAATTACTGGTACAAGCCACATCTCTACCAAAAGCCCTGGCACAAGGCACAACTCTACCACAAGCACTGGCACAAGGTACAACTCTACCACAAGCACTGGCACAAGGTACAACTCTACCACAAGCACTGGCACAAGGTACAACTCTACCACAAGCACTGGCACAAGGTACAACTCTACCACAAGCACTGGCACAAGGTACAACTCTACCACAAGCACTGGCACAAGGTACAACTCTACCACAAGCACTGGCACAACTTTACCACAAGCACAATCCACAACTCTACCACAAGCACTGGCACAAGGTACAACTCTACCACAAGCACTGGCACAAGGCACAACTCTACCACAAGCACAAGGCACAACTCTACCACAAGCACTGGCCCAAGGCACAACCCTACCATAAGCACTGGCACAAGGCACAACTCTACCACAAGCACTGGCACAAGGCACAACTCTACCACAAGCACCGGCACAAGGCACAACTCTACCACAAGCACTGGCACAAGGCACAACTCTACCACAAGCACTGGCACAAGGCACAACTCTACCACAAGCACTGGCACAAGGCACAACTCTACCACAAGCACTGGCACAAGGCACAACTCTACCACAAGCACTGGCACAAGGCACAACTCTACCACAAGCACTGGCACAAGGCACAACTCTACCACAAGCACTGGCACAAGGCACAACTCTACCACAAGCACTGGCACAAGGCACAACTCTACCACAAGCACTGGCACAAGGTACAACTCTACCACAAGCACTGGCACAAGGCACAACTCTACCACAAGCACTGGCACAAGGCACAACTCCTGTGCTTGGTGAAGAATTACCCAATCTTATTTCCTTTCAGTCAATCCATTGGAGGAAGCCTATGAGATCTGAGAATGCACATAACAGTGCTGCAAATAAACTTGCCTTCCATTTAGAAGTTCAGCTTTGCCTTTCATTTTTAAAGCTTAACTGAACAAACTGAAAAGAGAAGCTGGTTGGTTGCCATAGGCAACTGCTCCAGATTTGATAAATCCCTTTAAATGTTTGAATATACCCATTGGAATCTATTAGATGTATATACAATGCATTCATAAAAGCTTTTTAAATGAATATAAATGCATCTAATCGCACACAGGGTGAATGAAGCCTAAGGCCCCATTCACACTGAGCGACATGAAAATCGCGCGATTTTCCGCGCGCTTTTATATGAGCGACTTGTCGCGCGACATCGCGCAACTTTTTCCTATTGGGCTGTATGCAATCAGGAGCAAAATCGCTCGCAAAAAGGGTCATGTAGGAGCTACAAGCAATATTGAGCGACGAGATGTGAACAGCTCCGTTGAAATGGATTGGAGAAGCTACATAGAGCGATATCGCGTGGGAATATGAGCGATATCGCTGCAAAAATCGCTCGATAAATCGCTCAGTGTGAATGGGGCCTAAGGCTTCACTTACACAGTGTGAATGTGAGTTTTAGGATTCCTGTGGCAGGAACCTGCAAATTCCTGCGGCAGGAATCCCTAATACTCCACTTTGAAGTGGCTGTTATCACCCGTTCAAGTTAATGACAGGGTGACAGTGGCCACATCTGTAAGTGCATATAATCATATGTGATACAATTACATGTGGTTTGGAACAAATAACTATCCCTGGACGCATTTACTGTGTGTCCTGGAATTATCGTTCAGCCCTTTGTAGGAATTGACTTCCTGTTGTACCTACTGGGCAGGAAATGAAGGTAAAACTCCCCAATGGGATACAGATGGCTTTTAGCCATCAGATATAATTGAAAGTGACCCATGTAGTTTTGGATAGCATAGAGGATGACTAGAATCCTGTCAGGGCTTTTGCCTTCAGCATCCAAGATAGTTCCAGGTGTGTTGTATGCCTGGGACTATGCTGTTCTATATGGTCCCTTCCACTAGTCTCTGTGTCTGGTACTGAAATAGGGGCCAGCAGAGAAAACCTCAGACCACAGCAGGGAATGCCAGAATCCAACAATCTTGAAAGTGTTGAATGCAGATCTTTGAGCAAGCTTCTCTCTCTAACCCAGTGGAGTAAGTCCCTGTTAACAAGAGGAATGCCATTTTTTTTTGCTATGGGGCCCATTCGCTCCTGTGCGTTGTGCTGCCATGGAACTTAGAAAATTGGTGCAGGTGCTTCTATTGGTGCTATATAGTGCAGTTTTGGCCCCATAGACTTCAATGGGAGTACATAAAAAATGCATGGCATTCCTTTTGAGCATGTTTTTGTGCATAACATTCAGTCTCCTTCTCCTAGCAACATCTAATCTAGCCAGGCTCCATAGGAAGATGGAGCGAGAAGGCCATACCATGCTTGATGTGAAAGAACTAACGAGGCTGGTGAGTGCAAGGATATTACTTGTGTGACCACAATTACAGTGATCACTGAAAGTGCCAGAGGGTCTGGCAGCACATTGTCCATGAGGTTTATGCTCATTGGGGCAGTAGC